TGGCAATTCCGGCCGGTATAGCTATGAGGACAGTCACATTTGTAGTTGTTTACCAAATCGATACATTTTCCATTATTCAAACATAATCTGAATAAAACAATTTTTTGAAAGCGGTGATGGAAAAAAAATGAAAAAAAAAATGAAAAGGTGGTGTAACAACAAACGGCTGGTCTACTGATTGCACAGGCCTTGATGGGAATTTCTCCCGAATGAAATCAGTTTGCTTTCCAACAAATTACCGAGTGGTGGCTAATGTGTATGGAAGGACAAGTGCACGTTTACATTATCTGCCCCTCCGCGTACTGCATAGACCAGATAGTTCAAAAACCTTCCAACCTACTGAGTGAAAAGGTTGTACGGCTCATCCCCAAGCAATCAGAAGACCAAGAGAGTAACCCATGACACTGGTGGTTTTCTAGGTCCAGACGTTTCTATAAAATTATTTGGCTCATGTACTAGTAGTGGTCGATTTTATTGACCTTAGGTGAGCTATACTAGCTGTGACAATACCACTCAACGTGAACAATGGTAATTAGTGATACTTACCACCTGTATATTACAATGTGCATTTGGTAATTTGTGTAATCGTCCATTATTGGATCAGGTTGAGGTTATACTATCGCCTCGACAACGAGATTGTCAACTATAGACTTCATGGTGCAATTGCTGAACATGGTGCGACACCTTACACCCCACCTATGGATCATTTCTTCTCTTAGTAACTACTTGAGACCCATGCCCGGAGAGTGAAGTTTAGCCTTGGAGCTCCGTACGGGGTTAAAAAATTTGTCCATCATTGAGCATCGTTTTGATGACTTCTCTACGGGGCACTTGGTGGGCCTTTATGCTCAACTCTTCAGCTGTAAGGAGCTCCTCCTTGAAAAGGATCCGAAGAGAGGCGTGAATCATCATTCGGCTCACTTCTGGACAACTCTTTGAGTAGAACCTACCGATTAACCCAAAGTTGAGGAAGCGTTCGGGTGTGAACCCTCCTTACAAGATCTCTTGGGTTCTTTTCATTGTTTCGTCAGAGTTCAATCGCGGTTTAGCCCCAGCTGACGGGCTTTCTTCCTTGTGCTACCATTGCAGCACATAGGCCGGTAAACAAAACAAAAGTTGAAAAAACTTCCTTTCTATCCCTCCCCTTCCCTTGAGTACATAGTGCTGTGCTATCACTTTCTTTCCAAGATGACAATATTGATAGCGGCATTAAATAGGAGTCTTGACTCCTTGATGAGTACCTCGCTCCCACGACCTCATTCTTATCAATTACGCCAATTAATGTTTGCTTCAGCCGAGACACGCCGCATATTTACAATACCCATAAATGTAGATTGACTTGTAGCATTTACGACCACGAAAAAGAATCTATCGTAGAAAACTCGATGGGTGTAAAATATTAGTATTTACCCAGGCCTGCAATCATCATCGTTGATATGACAGTCACGTCCACTGAAACCTCTTTTGCACAGACATTCATAACAATTAACTCCATCCACACAGGTGGCTCCATTCAAGCAGGGATTGTCGGCACAGTCATCTGCAAAGAGGCTATCGAACTACTGGAAATGAATGTCCAGTAGCTGCTCAGGACCAGAACTCACCAATATCAACACCACAGGTTCGTCCGGTGTATCCAGGCTGACAGACGCAGTGAAAATTGGCCACGTCGTCGATGCATGTCCCGTTGTTCAGACATGGACCTAAAAACATACGACTATACTGCCAACAGTGATATACGGCCAGTAGAAGAGGGGTAGCCTGGTAAGAAAAGGGGCTGTTAAGTGATGAGTTGGATGGAGACCAGTTGATTGACTTTTATCCTTTTTAGATGAGGCTTCAGACCCACTGGAGCCTTTGGTACACAATTCTTTGGATAGCACTTCTTCAAAATTCAGAAAAAGACTTGAATGGAACACCACAGGTCTCAAATGAGAAAGTGTTCGGGATCAGCGCTGTTCAAAACTCCACCGCGATATTCATGATGGTGGGGGCATTGCGCATTCCAGAGTATCATCACAGCATCCACCCTTCAGAAAGTTTAGCAATAAAATAACTAGAATGACTTACTTCTAGCACAGTCATCGATGTTTTCGATGCAATTCCGGCCGGTATAACCCACTGGACAAATGCAGTTATAGTCTCCATGAGTGTTATGGCATGTACCACCGTTACGACATGGCTCATCCTTGCATTCATCGATATCCTTAACCAATCGATTATTGATTACCGATACCGTAATTCCACCATTCACTTCCACTTACCAATTCGCAATATTTCCCTTCAAATCCCGGTCTACATTCGCAGGTATAGTTCCGGTAGTTCGCTGTAGGACGACATATGGCTCTGTTATCACAGCGATTTCTTGAGCAGGGATTTCTCTGGAATCTCAGGTGTACTCTCGGGATTGGGATCACCCAATTAGGGATAACTCACCTTGTACTGGCATCTATCGCCAAAGAAAGCTGGCGTACAGTGACAGATACCAGCATGGGCAGCATTGATGCAAACGCCGTTGTTCAGACACGGGTTGATTGTACAATGATCGACAATGTTCTGGAAAAATCCCGACACTGCCGTAATACTACAGTACGGTAGGAGTTTCGAAACTAACCTCACAGTTCTTGCCACTATAGCCGCTGGGACACAAACAAAAGTAGTCCCCAAGCCGATCGGAGCATGTACCTCCATGCTGGCATGGATTAGTTGAACATTCATCAATTTCTTTGAGACAATCGTATCCAGTATATCCGACAGGACACACGCAACTCACTGACCTAATACGGTAATGTTAGGTCCACTGTATTTTTAGGCACAGAAATTACTGAAAAACTGAACTTACCTGGTCCCATTGTTCTCAATACAGATTTGACCAGTAGGGCATTTGGTCATTTCGCATGGGTTCAACTCAAGCTCACAATATTTGCCAGTAAATCCCTAAACAGAGTCGTTCAGGAAGTAAGGACAGAAAAATATTACAGTTTATAAGTACCTTTGCACATTTGCAAGTATTATTCTGACAGAATCCACCGTTTAGGCAGCTGTCAGGTGAACATGTGCATCGATCACCAGACGAACACTTCTCAGCGCATGTAGGGCCAGTGAACCCTGGAATGGTCCGTTGCCAGAAGTTCGAAGGTTCCTGGGACTAGGCTGATAGAACCTTACCCTCAGCACATGAGCATTCGAAATTGTTCAAGCGATCGACACAGACGCCGTTGTTCAAGCATGGATTCGGATGGCACATCTCCATCAGGGTATCACACGACTGGCCGGTAACACCTTCAAACGGTATAGACATTCAATAATGAACTAATAAGCGAAACGAAGGTAGTGAAGTGGCAGCAGGTAATTCATAGCACCAGAGAATAGGATGGAATATTAGCAGAACTGCACAACCTCTCGGTTACGAAGGAGCAGATAGATCATGTCCCACAGAGGCTTATTCCGCTAGTTGCCTAGTTGTTTACCCAAAGCCTGGAGGAGTAAACAAGATTCTACGTGAAAGATCCCCATCGTCGCATTGAATCCTCTTTGAGAAAGGGCAAAAGAAGGCTGGCTCATTAGAATGGCTCGAACGCCTCTTTACTGGTAATATGTGAGAGTTCGAGAATCGGGTATGGGAATAGGCAAGTCTCCAGCTCATTATTTCCGAGTCAGTACTGCCCAAGGTAATGTTGGGTGCGTATAAGTACCGGCGCTTTCTGACGTCTTTTCGGATTTTCGCAGAGTTTATGGTCCTTCCCGAGAAAACTGATAGACGGTTCCATCATTTTATTCGTTATTCGAAAAAATCTTACCAGTTGGACATTCGCATGTATAACTGCCAGCGATATTTACACATGTTGCTCCATTATGGCACAAAGCCTCACCCCACTCGGCACATTCATCAATATCTTCATCACAATACGGACCCTGCAAGTTGGACACTCCCTGACAGTCATCCGGCCATCAATAGAAAACCTACCGTATAGCCATGATCACAGGTACAAGTTGATTCACCCGTCTCGGGATCGCCAATACATCGTCCATTGAGGCATGGCTTAGAATGACATGGGTCATTGTATTGACAGAGAGAACCTTAACAGGAGCAACGATAACGAATAATAATAAGTGATATCCGAATATCAACTGAGAAAACGAACCTATTCTTCCTTCCGGGCACTCGCATCGATAGGAACCGATCAAATCGATACAGGTTGCTCCCAGACTGCATTTATTGTTGACGCAATCGTCTTTGTTGATCGTACATAATTCGCCTGAAGAGAAGGATGGGCATACCTGGACATACGTAGTACTCATAATATAAAAACAATCAAACTGTTACATATGAAATCACCTTCGAATGCCGCTGTACAGGCACATTCGAAGCCACCATTAAGGTTCACACATGTGCCGCCGTTTTCACAGGGATTCGCTGCCAAACATTCATCAACGTCTTTTTCACAGAACAACCCTGAAATGAGTGAGTTGAGATAATGGGAGAATCGCTCGGGAAAGGTATAGTAGTATCTGGCTCTCTCAACTTGGAGGAAGAGGAATTCAATTCTTCCCACACTAAGCAGTCATTTCGTACGAAGTGTTCTCAAGGTACCCCCATCGAAATTTCCATGGCGATGGTCAGCAGAAGTGAAAGTCAAAATTCTGATCCTCTCAGACCAGCATGCTGGTGTTCAATTGACTTCGAAGGTATTGATGGCTTGGATGGTCTTGGTGGGTATTCATTATGTATATGGTTTTTAGACCATGCGGGTGGGAGCACCACGTTTCTCAAAAATTAAGCAAAGCGGAGTTCACTGAGTTACCTCAAGCCCTGAATGCTGAAAGTAACATTCTAGATATCCCTTTGGGAACACTGAGACGATACCCCAACATAGAACGGAATAGTGTGCGAAAGTTCCTGAACAACGTTTGTCTTGCAATTTGTCTGTTCAACCACAGAACATAAAGAACGATTTTATGTCACGCCCCTTGGCTCAAAGAGAGCCAGAGGTACTGAAATAGCAACTCCATGACTTAAGGAAGTTTCAACATCCGAAGCTTCTCGCAAAAACTACTCTAGGTTTCTTTCAACAACACGTTCGTCTGTTGAAGGGCATCGCTGGTTCCCCAGATGTTTTTACAAAGGGCGTTTAGTTGAAAAGCAAAAAAAAACAACCCACCTTGGTACATCGGTGGACATACGCAGGCATTGTTGTTATTGATCTCGTCCGCCACACATACTCCTCCATTACGGCAAATATTCGGACCGGTCAAAGAACATTCGAGACCAGTGCGATAGATTTGACAGTCCCTACCGATGAAGCCCTCATCGCATTCACATCGGTATGAGCCCATCTGGAACACATGACATATTTCCCAAGTAATCACCTTCGCAGTCTCTATTTCAACTAAGAACTACCGCAGCCGCCGCGTTCTCAACAGCGATGATGATGACGACGACCACCACGACAGCGACAGCGGCAACGAGGCCGCCGCCGGATGATTTGGTGGTTTTCGCTTTCGTAACTTTCTCAGACAGCAAAAAATACGCTGCGGTGCGCAATCACTCGTGCTAAATTGCGCGTTTGTCTTCTCTTCTCAGTGTTCCCTGGGCGTGTATGTGGGTGTGTGTGAATGTCGGCGGCGTGTTACTCAAAAGACAAAGCCGGAATGGTTGGTAGCGAAGCGAACCGCTGATCGTAAAAAATGAGCTTGACAACGATAAAAAGAACTCGTGTGAACATACGCAGCAATATGCGATTTTTCCTATTTGCTCGATCTCTCTAGGCCATTAACTCTAAGGGGAACCGTACCGTAACGTACCGTATTCACACATTTTCCGAATGCACATGGAGATGAGTCGCACTCGTTGATATCGTATTCGCATTGCGGACCACGAAATCCTAACGGACAACTGCACTCGAAGTCCGATCCATTGCTATTGCACTTTCCGCCATGATTGCAGTATTCGGGTGGGCATGGATCTCGCTTATCACAATGATCGCCTGAAACAAGTTTATCTCAATAATTGGCACTGAAGGTCTTTTCCATTAGCACCTGACTGTTCAATTTTGAGTCAGGGATAGCGCGGTGCCTAGAGATGCTTCAGGACACCTCCATGGACTGAATTCTACCTAAACTTACCAAGCTAAGAATCTGTCAATCGTTCACTGGAGTCGTGCCTTTTGCAGAGATGGACAGAGCTCCGAAGTGCTTTTTAGAGCCAATCTATTGACCAAATCGCATTTGAATTTTATCCGATTCCGACATTTCAACTTGTGCTTTAGAAAATCATTCCAGATAGGGCTGTTTCCATACTCATGTTTAGGGATCGAATCCTAGATCGAGGTCTGTCCGGGTTTGCCCTTTTCCTTCCAGGATCACTGGTTATGGTGGCTTGGTGCTCAAAGAACCCCGGCTGTCTCCACATTGTCTGGGCCGTTAGCTGTAGCCAGGGATGCTTTCTCATAGCCATGCTCGTTCAGAAGGAAAAAAAGTTCGATGTCTACCAGACTGGTAGGTTCGGTAGGTCTGCCTGAGGCTTAACACTCTTCAAAACTCTTATAATGTGCAGCAAGAAACAAAGGTAAATCTACAAAGGAGAGTGCATCAACACCATGAGCTACTTTCATAATTTCAAATGTAATACTTTCGTCAATGTCATCTTTTGACGTTACCGACAAGATGACATACGGCAAGGCCATTTTCAACAGGGCAACCAACCAGAAACACATGGGAATGTCTGTTCCTTTCATCTATGTCGACAATAAATAGCCAACAAATAGACCGATCTATGTGTGAAGCCTCATTATCAGATCTTATCGTGCGGTAATTTCTGTCAGTCCTCCTCCGATTGAAACCCCCTCCTGACGACGTCAATCAATAGCCGCCTTGATAAATGACGGTCATTAGAAGGTGCCAGCGAAGATTTGTTACCAGCAATGGTGAAGGTCCGTGCTACGATGACACCTGAGATCGATTAGGTCCCAATGTGAATGGAAAGGTTAATTTTAGTCATTTGCCATCACTTCGCACTCAGACTAACTGACACCTTTGAGGTGAGAACCTTGGGTTAGCGATCTGGGCCAGATTTGTGGGAACTACAGGCTATTTTCTCATTGGATAGTTGAAAGGGCTGCTGTTTTCAGCAGGTCTTTCAAAAGCCGCCGCAGTGAAGTTTAAGATGTGATGGTTTACAAAGGAAACGGTAACTCGGAATCCCTAAACTACAGTTTCCGTGTGAAGTAAAACCTACAAAATTGGCATAACACGAAAAAGGGAAGGTGAAACACTGGCTACCACATTGGCTGGTCCTTGACCTTTTGCCATTCATTTTATTGGCTTTTTTCAGGATTTCTTTAAGATGAGTTTTAATTTTCTCAATCATTTTTGCACTGAATGTGCACTTTCAATTGCAGGGGGATGGGATGGGCTTGGGATGCGCCTACGCATTCGACATATATTCAGAATCGCAGGGTGTCTGGATTGCATAAG